GCCTGCTGAAATGCCTGGGAAGCTGTTCACAGACATTGCCTCGTTTATGAGCAACCTGTCACTTATCCTGCCAGCAGTATTTGCCTCTTTTGTCTCATTCACCTTGATTTCCATTTAATGATTATTATTTTTGTTTCCTAATTGTTCCAGTATCTCAAAACTTATCAATGTTTTCCCCACTCCTGCCTAATCACATGGCTTGCCGGGGATTCCCAGCCAGAGTCAGCTGCAAGGAGCCCTGCTCTGGCCTGGCCTGGACTGTCTCCTCCACACCGTCTTCCTCCTCCGCCCTTGGCTTGCACCCTTGTTCTCATGCAGTCTCTGCTCTAGTGGCCCGGGAGACAACTGTCAAGTACTGTGTGACTGCAAGCACCTTTGTTGTCCATCACATGTCATCGATGGTTGGTTCGTTACAGAACTCTACCTGGAAAACAAATTTCCTTCCAAGATGATAAGGCATTGTGCACTGATTGTCTACCCTCTGTCTTTGATGCTGAACTATCTGGTATGAAAATAATTTTTATCCTTTGATGTATTTTAGTTTTCTTTTTTTAAAAAATATATCTATTTACTGTAATGGCAGAGTTATATAGAGAGGGGGAGAGAGAGAGAGAGGTAGAAAGAGATCTTCCAAAGAGCTGGTTCACTCCCCAAACAGCATCAGTGGCTGGAATTGGGCCCATCCAAAGCCAGGAGCCAAGTGCTTCCTGCAGGTCTCCATGGGACCCAGCATGGGACCCAGCACTTCTTCCACTACTTTTCCAGGTGCATTATCAGGAGCTGGATTGGAAATGCAGCAGCTGGGACTTGACCCAGAACCCATCTAGAATGCTGATACTGCAGGCAGCAGCTTTACCCACTATGCCACAGCACCAGCACTTTTTTTTTTCTTACCTTTATCCCCTTATTCATAAGGACATGCCTGATTGTGGTTCCCTCTTCATTTGTTTTGCTTGGCATTTACTGTGTCCTTCAATCCTAAGAAACTTTCTTGAATTCTTTAATTTTTTTTTTATTAGAAAGGCAGACTTAGAGAGAAAAGGAGAAACAGAGAGAAAGCTCTTCCATTTGTTGGTTCACTCCCTAAATGGCCATAACAGCCAGAACTGAGTTGGTCCATAGCCAGGAGCCATGAGTTTCTTCCAGGTCTTCCATGTGGGTGTAAGATCCCAAGGCTTTCGGGCATCCTCTGCTGCTTTCTGATACCTGAATCAGGTAGCTGTAAGGGAATAGAGCAGCCAGGACGTAACCCAGTGACCATAGAAGACGCTGACACTTGTGGGGGAGGATTGAACCATTGCAAGGCCCCTTGAATTGCTTCCTTTGTGGCATTCTGTACTTTTTCTTTCTGGACTTTTTAAAATTTGATAATGTACTATCTGATTTTATTAAAATTTTATCTCTTCCTTGTCTTACTTTCTTTCACTCTCATTCTATGGGAAATGAGTCTGGCATTACATCTCAACTCTTCCATTAATTTTAAAACCTTCTTCTTTGTCCTGTGTTTTAGTTTCCAAGATTATTTCCTCCTTTTATAGCCATTTGTTCCTGTTTTTCAGATATAACTTCTTATCTATCTGTGGATATTGTCTTTCCCCACCGCCACCTTTATAAGTCGACCTGAACCTTCAGGGCTCGACTGAAACCCTACATTTTTCATGGATCCTATTCAATCAGATCAACTCTACACTAAACAGGACTCTCCTAGGGTACTACATTCCATACATGCGATATTATTTATAATTCATATATAATTCTGTTAGGCTTGTGTTAATTCCTGCTGTATGACTAGTGAGATCTCCCCAAGTATATTGTATTCTTTTCAAGGGTATGTACTGGTATATGAAATTAAACATAAAATAACTGATTTTTAAAAATTAATAGTGGAATAAAAAGTTAGGAAGATATCCCATAAGAGGGGAAAAAATGAAAGAGAAAAGGCACAGAAAAAAATTAGAAACTCCAACCAGAGTTCCACTGTCACATGCAGAAAAACTTTAGAGAAAACAAATAACCAAAAAGACAAAGTAGAAGAAATTACAGAAGAAATAATTCAAGAAAGTTTTTTATTGACAAAACCTTACTGAGTCTAGAATTTTTACCTTTTCTAGTTTGGACTTATGAATTTAAAGAGTGCTAAGCAAATGTTTGTTGATTTGAATTAAATGACAAGCCATCCACATCTCACTAAGATAATCTATCTCAGTGTGGGATTCTTTAAAGCATATGGGAAACATAAGTACTTGCCAAATAATATGAAGGCTGATTTATACAGATTTTTGGAATTTTTCCTTTCCATGGTGTTTCCTCACAGTAATCATAGCAGTCTATCTTTTATATTTTATTTGTAATAATAGTGCTGTTTCAGTCCTTTGTATTTACTGAGTCTTCCTTGAAACCTTCAACTTGGATTTCATAGAAGTCTGCCTTTCCTCACTCATATTTCATTTGTTTATGAAAAAGCTGAATTATATAACAGACATAACCAAGAACAGGTGGCACAAGCAAAATTGGAAGCAAACACATCTAAATCTTAGTCAGCATTTTATTCCACTGGAAGGAAGTAGGGATCGTGGTTGTGTTAGAGAGTGATTTGCTGCCTGTAGGTCTAGGGCCTTCACTGTTTCTGTGAAAGTCAGTTCTCTTTTTAAGGAATCAAATGTAGATTCTCAGAGAAGAAGTACACTGACCACTTGGCTTCTGATGGCCCAAATGGATCTTTATTTGTAATAGTGAATCAGTTGGAACGTGTATATTCCACTTGTGTGGTAATCCCTAAAGAAATAAAACCTCTGAGTAGAAACTGACGACAATAATGATCAAAAAGAACTCTTGCATTTCCTGCTGGCCATACGCACAGGGCCGAAATCACTTTATTGCTGCTATAATCCCAGCCATCCCTCATGGTCACTGCTCCTTCCCGGACATTCTTCTACAACTCAGAGATTAAGAAAAACCCATAGCTGAAATACTTTATAAAAATCACAGACAGGAATATAAAAGTATCAGTTAGAGTTGCTTCTATTTGAAACCAAAATGGAATCTCATGATTCATTTAGTGATTCAAATGTTTTATTTAGTGCTGGGTTGTTTAGAAGCAGCCTAGGACTCTGAGGGCAGGGAGAGGTGTCCAAATTCTACCCTGTCCACAAAATAATAAGTATGTTCATCCTCTGCCAATATCCCTGGTTCTCACACCTTTCTCTAGCAAGTTTACTACTTCTCCTGTGGCTACCCCATAGCTGAGTAGTGAGTGAAGGCAGCTTTTATATAAGGGTAATAGAAAAAGTGTTCATTTTTTGAGCCACAAAATCATACCACGTGCCAGGAAACACACAGAAGATTCACTGTTGGTAGCCAGGGCCCATTGGCAAGGCTGTCTCTTAGAGTCAAGAGAGCAGCAGCCCACTGGCAGAAGATGAAAGCGATATGAAGGCAATTGAGAGAAAGAGTCTTTCAGTTTAGAAAAAGGGTTTTATCCATCAGGAGAGAGAGAGAGTCTGATGCACTGCTCCTTGGTGGGAGGCAGCACGGGACCACTTCCACATGGCAGGTGAGCATGAGAGGGAAATGGCTGGGCAGGGTGTACACGCTGGGCTTTTATACATCCCAGGTGTGGGATGGGAGAAGGTAACAACTCCTCAGTTTGCGCGTGCTTGTGATGGGTCATCACGGCAGGTGTTGACCTGCACAGACTTGGCATTCCAGACATTTCTGGATAGGAGTGTCTGCTTGACTTCTGCAGTGCTGGAGACAGTTCTGCTCAGACCAATAAGAACAAGCAGTAAAGTTAGAAATCTTACCAATTCCTTTGCATTTTCCTGTTTTGTTTTTTTTTTTTTCTCTCTCCTTTGTTGCTGTGTCTAGATATTGACTGGACTCAGGCTCGAGTTAATCGCCCATCAGCCTGTGTTTAGTATTTTCATGTATCTTGTTTCTGTTTGGAGTTATTTCTAAATCACGGACAAGGGGACACCCTTCTTCACTGGTCTGCCATGTCCCCACCATGGCTACGCTGCACCATGTCTGAGCCTGGATGGGTTGGGAAGCCCCTAGGAACAGTACATCCTCACTCAGCCATCTCCTTCCTGGCCCACCACGTTCAAGGGCAATGACCTTCACTTCCTGGCAGTAACTCTCTGCAGACCACGTGCCGTGCCATGGACTCCCACCCCCTACGTGTTCCTGACCCCCTGCATCTTGCCCTGCTCGCTTCTGTCAGTAAAAAGATCTTTATTTTACTTGAACAGTTTTCCAAATATCAGTGATCCTTCTCCTCTAGAAACTAGAATGACATCAAAAAACGACCTTCTGCTGGCGGCACTTCCTCATGTAGTTCTTTTGACTCTGAACTCATATGCGTGTTTATGCCTCCTGGGATGGGTGGTCTCTTTGAAAAGTAGAACCGTGGACTCTTAGGCGGAACAGCGTTCTACCAAAATGGCCTTTAGAAGGTTCTCACTATTTGTATCATTCATAGCCAGGGCATATCTGATGTGGCCAGGAAGTAGCTGCCCCAGCCTGGTCACAAAGACAATTCCAGTTTGGGGTGATTCTTGAAAACAGTATGTTTCAATGAGGTGTCTGCAGGTGTCTATCCTCCTGCACTATCACCCTTCGTCCCCCACCCCCCAAAACAAGATCGAGCAACTTCCTTCTCTTATTTAGTAGGTGACAGAATCCCTCAGCCAACTCCCCATGGAATTGGGGCTTCAGCTCAGATAACCCCCATATCAGTAATCCTTCTGTATGGAGCCCTTCATTCCAAACTTAGTGTGAACAGAAGGACTCATCTACAACTTCCAGTTGCCACTCAACATTTTTTTTCAAGCAAGTAAAGCAATCAGTTGAACACTTTTAATAGAAAGGTATTATTAAAATAACAAAGAAAAAGACCTTGCCCCTGCCTATATTTGCTTTTTAAAAAAAATGGGGATGGGGGGAAATGGTCCATGTCAACCCAAGAATATAATAACACTGCCTCTCTTTCCTTGTTTTAGGGAATGCTGTCGCTTTTTTGGAGACAATGGCTTGACTTTGAAGGTGTTTTTTACCAAGGCAGCACCCTTTGGTGTTCTTTGGACACTCACAAACTACCTGTACTTACATGCAATAAAGAAAATAAACACTACGGATGTCTCCGTGTTGTTCTGCTGCAACAAAGCTTTTGTGTTCTTGCTCTCATGGATCGTTCTCAGGGACAGGTTCATGGGAGTGAGGGTAAGTTCTTTATTATCTGTCTTCCTCTCTCACTCGGTCATGTCAGCCAAAACCTGCCCATTAGCTTGCTTAGCCCCATGTGCTGGACCCGTGAGCATAACTGCTGACCACCTTCTTTCCAAACTGCAGCAGACAGGCGGCCCCGCAGAGGGCTCAGTTCATGATGTGCCTTGCAGACTTGCTTGCGAATCATACTGGACGAGCATTCATGAAAGCACCTTTCATTTCAAGCATCTCAACAAGCATTCCCTAAAGTGTGTGCCAGCCAGGGGTCCCGCCTGGAAACAATGATGTGCTCTGCTCTCCGCGTGCTCACCCCTCACTTCCTGTGGCTTTCCAGGCCACGGTGCATGACCTGAGCGTGCCCTGCAGCCTGAGGCTTTCTGCTGACACTGTCTCCTGGTCAGGATGTGTGGATCCCAGAGGATCCTTCAGCATCCATGTGTGCATGTGGGCTGGATCTTTGGCCTGGAGCATGTGCACAGCCAAAGTGGGCCAGACACACCTGTGCAAAATCCTGACCTTCGTATTGCATCAAAGGAAACTGAAATGAAAACCCTTGACTTCTCATCATACATGGATATTTAGCAAATTATGTTGAAAACTAGTCAAATTTAGTGAATCAAAATTCACAGTGGTTACGTGAAATATAACTGCATCATGAAATACTAAGCTGAAGTGATACAAGAAGCTGCCCTGAATTAAAGAAAGAGGGGACATTTAACCTGGACAGATAGGAGACACTTAGCATGGACGGAACGCCAGTGGCTTCCGCCTAGCTCCCTCTGGCGGTCAGAAGCTGCAGCTGAGCCATCATCATCTAGCACAAACCAGGACCAAAAAAGAGCATTTGGCCACACACAGCTCAGTCTTCGGTAGCAGGAGTGCATTGTTTGCAGCCTTCCTGCCACGAAGCTAAGAACCTGTCAGAAGGAAAGTCCAGTCCTTCCTTCATTGTCCTGGGAACAATGACATCACTCTAAGGGTGGCTCCATGCCCCAAATGAGTTACACAAACAGCAGTGGGGACATGAGTCAACTGCTGATTTGGTATTTTTAGTTTGCAGTAGGGAGAAATTTTGTTTTGAGGCTCAGTGTTAATTTTGGAATAAAAACTCACTTCTGTGCTACCATCCAGAAAAGCCTTCAGCAAATCAAAAAAAAAAAATGCAGGTCTTTCCAGCAATAATCCACCCATAGCCTGCCTGACCTGACCCTGAGCATGTTCCTATACACATCTTTCAGGACTATATTTTGATGTGAACAATCAAGAAAGTTCACAGAATTTTCTGCCATGATTCTGAGGTCCCAACCCAAATTCCAGATGGCATTCTGTTCCTGGGAAGGGAATCTTCAAGTTTAATTCTGCACCTGCAGAAAGAAAATATTTTTTTTTCTGAAGAGAAAGATATATGTATATATTTAAAAAAAAATTAAACCACTCTGAGACAACACTCCGAGACACTAAGGACAGTGTGGCACGCTCACGTCTTCCTTGGTTGATAGAGATGGGTAAGACAATCTCCCTTTCTTTTACTAACATCCCAAGACTGTGATACAGACCGGCCTTGCTGGCTACTTGGTTGGTTTGCTGACCACTGCACACTGCACAAAGCTTTCTGTTGAGTTCTTGGGTACTAGATCAGCATGAAACAAAGGTCAGAGAAGCCGGTACTGCTGATGGAAGTGGGTAATTTGGAAAGCCCTCTGCTGCTATAGATACGTTTCATAAGCATTGCTCCGCTTAACAGCCAGGCTGAGGCATCTGAGAGCATCCCACTGCATGTCACAGTGCATTTCCCTCTTCTTATTGTGAAGGGTGAGATCCCAGCCACTTGCTAGAGTGGCTGGAAGTTTCCCTTCCATAAACAAATGCAGCATTCGGGACAAGGAGATCTCTAAGTGCTCCCTGGAATTGCACCGGCTTCCCTGAGACTACTTCCACTGGGTGACTCCCAGACACTGCAGAGAGCTAGCTTGGTTCTGCATCTTGGAGGAAGGGTGGTTGCAGACATAAGGAGCCTGAAGGAGGCTCAACCTCATGTTTGTGGAGCAGGTTGCTGGGAGACTTGGGTTACTGAGAAATGACTGAGATCATATGGCAACAGATCTGGGTTATACGAGACCCAGGAAGAGGCGAGTGTGTTCTGCAATGCTGGAAACAGCTTCACCATGTAGAGACTGCAGGGATGTTCATCTCAACACAGCTCAGGCTGGTCCTGGTTACTGTCTGACCCTCTTCTTAGGTGTTTTCCATTCATATCCTCGCTGTTCAGGTCAGGTTCAGGACAGTGAGGTGCACTAGAGTCAGCTGGTTCAGCTGCAGATGTTGCCTCTACTCTTACAAGCTGTCAAACTTTGAGCAAATTACAAAAAGTCTGTAGCCCCATCTTTTTAAAATGGGCCAAACATGACTACTTACCATAGAATAGCTATGCATGCCTGGCACTTTATAAAAGGTGATTGTTGCTTTCTTACTGTTCTTAGTACATAACTCCTTCTCAGCAGGAAGGGGTTAATGGATCGGCCTAACTCCTTTGTTGGTGGTATCAGAAGCTGATGAACATTCAGAGAGGCAGTATTGTATGGCAAAAGCAGCAAGAGGATGAAAGCAAGTAGAGCTCTGGAGAGGAGAGGGAGAGGGAAGGGGCCCCCGAATGAGCCTACCCAGGGGTGCTCAGACCACTGAGGCCCCTCCCAAGCCTCCATCTGAGGGGAAACCGTGACGACTCTTTGCAACGAGGATGGAAGCAGGAGCCAGGGGGATCACAGAGCCTGTCCACGTGGGCCTTGGAGCCACTGCAACACCTCCTGGAGAGGCAGGGATGCCTTCCTGTGGCCGTTCCCATCACAGGCTGATTCCCTCTCTCCTCTGCTGCCCTTCAGCAGACCGTTTTGTGTCTCCCAAGGGGTCACCTTGCCTGGGATGCTGACCAACTTCTATGTCATCCAAGACCCCACAGGAGTGGCGCATGGAGGGCGGGAGCATGATGGTGCTCCCTGCCCAGGCATCTTTCCACTCTTGGAAGTCTGAAGGGCCAACCAGGGGAGTGCTGTGTCCCCTGCATGTTCTGGTAGTCCTTGAGATCAAGCCAGGCTCTGCAGGCAGGTTCTTCAAGGCATCCTGCTTTCTCCTCCTTGCAAAAGTGTCCCAAATGTGTAGCATTCCACTCATCCAATGTTTCAGAAGAGAGGTAGTCAGACCCAATCCTCGTGTCTCCCAGCAGCTGTAGGACTTTCCCTCACCTCCCCTTTCAGCCTATAGCAGCACCACCTGCCATGTGCCTTGCCAGGCCTCCAGTCTAGAGCTGTGGGTACTGGGCAGGTTAATGCCAGAGGTGCTGCACAAGCTCAGGGAGACACCATGAGCACACTGACTGCTAGTAACCTGCTGGCCTGTGCTTCTTCCTCTTCTCCAGCCGATTGCTTTGCAGATCCAGTAGAGGAGATGGCTGTCCCCTATCCCTAGGGCGCCTTGTTTTGGGGTAGTGCCATGGGGTACACAGAGAGGGGCCAGGAAGAGGTAAGAAGGGAGAGGCTTAAGCAGCTAAGGGAAATCCACTCACCCTCATTCACTCAGACTCTGTGTCCTTCCCAGGGGGCAAGATGGATGGGGGTCGTGGTTGTGGGAAGGGGTGGTGGAGGCTGTGGAGCACCAGAGTGGACTTGACTGACCTTTATAGAATTCATTTTAGGCAGGGGGATGTTTTTACATGAAAAACCAAGAAACCCAGAAAAAAAAGTGTAAAATGTTTATGTGTATCTTAAAGACAGCTGGAATCTTCAAAGCACTGGCAGACTTGAGGAAGGACTCTTGGGTCCCACCCTCTGAAGTCTCAAGGCACATTTTAACTCTGTTTCCATGGGAAAGCAGAGTGAGGCAGGGAGCCGCTCATCAGCCCACCTCCCAGCACTTGAGCCATGTCCCAGCAGGGCTGCAGATCCCCAAGGAACAGCTAGTCCACAGACAGGGCCACCAGCCCTCTAACTTGTGGCTGGAACCCCACCAAGAGGAGGATACTGGGGGGCAAGAAGAAGGGGGCACTGGGGCCTCCTCTGACATGTTCTGCCTTGCCTGATGGAAGGCCAGTAGCCCCTCTCTTTTTGTACTCTGTAGCTTCTGCCCAGCATGCACAGTTCACGTGGAAGCTCTCCAACATCTGTCAGATAATCAATAGAGAAGAAAGGGGAAGAGGTTAGTAATTGGCACTGCAAGTCAGAAAAGACAGACACATAGATAGATGATCGATCTTTCATTTCCTCAAATGAGCTGTAAGTCTTGGAAAGACTTTTGGCAATGTTGCCTAAAACGTCCGTTCTCTTTCCTCACCTCCCTCCTTTTTCTCCTGATTTCTTGTTTAAGTGCTAGTCAGGCAAACCTGGTCCAGGCAGCATCTTTGCATCACGTCTGCGTCTGGAGCACAAACCAGCTGGTTTTTCACTTGCCCCTTTCTTATCCTCTTGGACTCAAACCATATTTGTCTTCTTGCCTCTGTGTCTTATTCTTAAACATTTGCACACAGTACACAAAGCACCTGAATATGAAAAACATGCACACATAGGATGCAAAGTAATACCTCTGACCACAAAGGAATTACTGCATCATGAAGAAGAGGTGGACAGACCAGGGCTAGTGACTCTCTAGCTTGTGAAATCACCTGCTTTCTTGAAGGCAGATCTGTGTTGTGGGTGACACAGCCTGACATCCGGGACATTGTGTATGAGGCACACACCAGGAGAAGTATAAACTTAAATATGGTGATCACAATTCAATTACATTACTTTTTTTCCTTTTTTTTAAAAAAAAAGATGTATTTATTTTTATTGGTAAGGAGAATTTACACAGAGAAGGAGAGACAGAAAGATCCCCTATCTGCTGATTCACTCCCCAAGTGGCTGCAATAACTGGAGCTGAGCCAATCTGAAGCCAGGAACTAGGAGCTTCTTCCAGGTCTCCCACGTGGGTGCAGGGTCCCAAGGCATTAGGCCATCCTTTGCTGCTTTCCCAGGCCACAGGCAGGGAGAAGGATAGGAAGTGGAGCAGCTGGGACACAAACCGGCACACATGTAGAATCCTGGGCATGCAATGCAAGGATTTTAGTCACTAGGCTACCACACTGGGCCCCTAGTGCATTACTTTAATAAACCTAAAAATTGTGTGTTTAAACCACTATGGAAAGTTCAGTTCAAATCTCAGAGTATTGCTGGCAATAGCTTGCAATGTGAATAATATTTCTCCCTTTAAATATACAAGAAATCATCAAAAAACTTGTGGAAATGTATATTATGTAGACTATAAACAAATTTTAATTTTGATATAATAATGAATTTGTATTTTAGTTCCATTTTCCATGAGCTGAGTACTCGCATATAAACACCAGCTTTGCAATGAAATTTGAAATTTATGTTATTCTCCCCACACATCAGCTGTGTGACCCTGAGCAATAACTTAACCTCTCTGAACCTATGTTTTTGAGTCTATAGAACAAGATGAATGACGGTATTTATGTTTTTTAAGGACTCAAAGATAAACTACATAGAAAATATTTATCCTGTGACCACTGAGTAAATCTTAATTATCTAATATTGTTATCGACAGTTGAAGTCAATCTTGAATGATCTGTTCAGAGAAATGAAATTCATAAATGCAGTGGTTCAAACTGCTACCACACATACGACGTGTTCTGCTGACCACTCCCACGTCTCCACTCTCCACCCCTCAGCCGTAGTTCCACGGCGAGCCTGGAAGGTCGGTCCTTGGGTTTATCTTTTGTGCAGGCACGTTCTCCCTTCTGGGAAAAGTGATTGCAGGTCTTTGTATCTCCTATTACTGTGGCGATTTGACATTGCAGAGCAGGGGTGTGCGCTTCTTCATGAAGCTTTCGGCCACTCTGAAAAGCCATCCAGCACATGCTGGGTCGAGTTATCCTGACAGGTAGGTGACATTCTGTGAAGCCCCACTGCTGATATGTAAAACAATGACAAGATGTGTTGACCTCACTGTGCCTTCTCTGTTGAGATATGAAATCCACAAAAGCAGACTCCCACAGGGTCCTCTCAGAAGGAGGGGAAAAGACTGGGGTACAGTCCAGCTGCTGTCCTGGAACTGTCTACCCAGCTTTGTCATGACCAAATGACTGATTGCTAGAGTGGGGACCACTTCCTGCTCAGGTCCCCAAGGTTCACAGTGCTGCCGGCAAGTCCAGGTTCTTGGTTCACACCAAGCCATGCTGAGTGCCCTCCCAAAGCAACAACACAAGTGTGGACAGGGCCACCTTGCCCATTGTCTTCCCCCAGGAGGCCTGTAAAGGAGACCCCACTTTCCCCATCCACAGCTGAATCCATGAACATCTCTGGGTCATTGGCACTTGGAGGGTCCACATGTCACCCCACTTTCTGCCCTGACCACCATTTTCTTCCATCCATCCAGATAGTGGCTGCAATCCTCGCCATTGCCGGCATCGTGATGATGACCTATGCCGACGGCTTCCACAGCCACTCCGTCATTGGCATAGCTCTGGTGGTGGGCTCGGCGTCCATGTCAGCCCTGTACAAGGTACGTGCGGGAAACACATTTGGTGAGCTGGCCTGGCTCTCCCTGGAATGTGCGCAGGTCTCATAGGGCTGCCCTTTTGCTGTAGGGGAAACATGAGATGTGCCTGCTCTGTAAGGTAAGCAATTGATTTCAATGCTCACCAGGCAGGCAGAGACTAATGCCAAGAGCCATGCTGAAGCATGCAGCCACGCCCGGCTTTGGCTCTGTGGACATTTCCATCAATGACCATATGTTTACAGCATTTGGGATAAAACAAGTGTTGCCCACTGGATCAACAGAGTCATATTCATGACTTCATTGTTTGTCAAGAAGTGGAAAAGGGGCCCTATGTTGCTCGCTCAGTGTTTGCTCAGGTTAAGTTCCCAGCCCATTAGACGATGGGACATGATGAAGATGTGAATATCCAGTGTGGCTTTGTCATATCAATCATTGAGCACACAGTTTCTGCAGCTGTCAATGGTAAACACAAATCCATATACAATACAGGAACTACCTGTATAGATAAAAGCACAACGTATGATGCGGGAATAGGAGACACTTTTAACAAAACATTGTGAACCACTGGGAAGCCATTCTCAACTGCAGGCTTACAGACAGCAATGTTTTATTCCCACAATGGGCGTCCTTGCTCTGTTTTCCTCCTGATTTGATCAAGCCACTTGCTTCCTCTCTCCCTCCCTCTCCCACTCCTTAGATCCACAGTAGAGGCTGGATTTTTCTGGGTCTTTAAATTGGGAAACTGATCTGGAAGAGTCAATGAGAAATGAGATTTTTACCTCCAAGACTTATCATTTCTTTGTGGATCCAGACAGAAGAACAGAGAGAGTTAAGCGCTATAGAAAAAAAAAAACATAAGAAAAGACATTTTCTTCTCAGCTGTCTGAGTGCCAGGTGTTATGATCTGGGGAAAGAGAATGGTGTTTCTTACTTTCCATCACTCCTTGCCCTCACCGCCCATAGAGAAAGACATGCACATCATTTTCCTTCTTGGGACGACAGCTCATCAAGGGCATGCTAGTCTAGCACCACTCCAAGACTTCAAAGCCACTTCCAAATACAGAAAATATTAAAAGCTCAGATTCTGCTCCAGTTAATTAGCTGTGTGCTAATGAGGAGCCGAGAGCATGTAGAGACTCCATCCACAATGAAAAGAATACTCTGATTCAGATGGCTGGCTCCAGCTCCTCCACTGCCTGCAGGTTGTCCAAGGGGATTAACAGGCAGCAGGCTGAAGACTCCTTCCCTCCCTCTCTGTGCTTCCCACACATTCATCAGGGAGGATGTACATGAGCTGTCAGGTGCTGAAAAAGGAAAAGGCAGGCAGAGATGGAAGACAGCTCAAACGGGACAGCAGCACAGAGACACAGGTGCTCATCTGGGGCTCTGCATCTTTGAGTTCAGTCTCCAGACAATCCAGACACGTGTGCCTCTCCCTTCTGGACCTCCCAAACACCAGCACTGTCCTATAAACAAGAACATGTACAGGAAAGGATAGTTTTGTGCATACCACTGACGCCAGCATCATGTCTGGAATGGGGCTGGTGGAATGGGGCAGAGATGAACCTGATTCCTCCCTCCTGAAGTTATATAAAATGCCTTTGCACCAGAGCCAATTTTCACAAGGCCAGTAGTTTTCAAACTGTGTTGTCCAGGCGTTAGGGATCAATTGTAGGAGTTCCTAAGAGGGTGTGAGTCATAAACGTTTCTAATGGATGTGATATCATGACCACAACACAGAAAAACCAAAACCAAAACTTAGTGTGCAAACCCCCGTTCCCCAAAGATACTGTGTAGGCAGAATTACTCTCCATCTGCAAGTGTGCAATACAAAGGGGCCCAGGCCCTCTCCACTGCCCCTTTGCTGAAAGCCTGGTGAGGTGACATGGGCCTGAAATATGACGTCCACTCAGGGGACAGCCCTAGCCGGATCCAGCGCACTCTGCTTCACCTGAGTCAGCCTGGGCTACGCAGTGCGCCCTCACCCCTCCTCTGCTTTCTCCTACAGGTTTTGTTCAAGCTCCTCCTGGGTAGTGCTAAGTTTGGAGAAGCTGCCTTATTTTTGTCCATTTTGGGTGTCTTTAACATCCTCTTCATCACCTGCATTCCTGTCATCCTCTACTTTACCAAAGTGGAATACTGGAGCTCCTTCGACGACATTCCATGGGGAAACCTTTGTGGATTTTCAGTTCTTTTATTGAGTAAGTAACCACTCTCCAGTCTTTGATCCCCAGAAGCCAGAGATTGAGAGAGGACTCTGGAAACCTGTGCCATGTGGAAGAAAAAATAGTTTATTAGTCTTCAGGTCTTGCTATGCTTTTCAGGTCCTTTGTGTTCCGCAAAGTCAAGTCTTTAAAGATGAGGTTGAGTTCAAACTCCAGATGAATGGTCATTATATGCCATCTCTGGTATACACAAAGACCATCCCTACTCCCCAAGAGTGATTAGCATGTTTGCAAGTTACCTAGAATTATGACACAAGGAGTTGGCAAACGCTCTTAGAATATTGCCCAAGTGTCAGTGTTTAATAACAGGTAGCAAAGTGACCAAGGAGATACCACACCCAACTGCTGTCTAAAACACACAGTCCAAAGCTCCTATGTAGACAGAAGGATTCCCAACACCACAGAAAAACAGAGCTGATCCAAGGGACCCCATTTCTTTTTCTGGAACCTTCTCACTAGTTGCCCTTCCCTAATTCTTTCCCTTCCGGAAAGGCCAGGGAAAAGAAGGGGCTATGTGGATAGTGTTTATCCAGACACTCGAATCCTGGAACCTTTCAAGGAAGAAGTTCACTGCACCAGAGCCAAAGGCTGTGATAATTCCTATGACGCCAATCTCATGGGAGCCAACAGGTCAGACAGGCCAGCAAGGAAGCGAAGCCCAGGGCTATTGCGAATAACACCCATTTCTAAATTGTTTATTTTCAGCATTCAATATCGTATTAAATTTTGGCATTGCTGTTACTTACCCCACTCTGATGTCTCTTGGGATTGTCCTCAGTGTACCTGTGAATGCAGGTAAGTCCGGATGACTTTCCACATCTGCTCATTATAAACACACTCACACACACACACATACACACACACTTGCTGTGGCTGATCCAGAACGCATATTTTTCCTTCTGCAGAGGAAAACCAAAAGAGAAAGCATTTAGGGAAAGTGCTGTTGTTTGTTAAATAAGTGTGATTTTCTCCATCATGGACTGAGTGTCTTGTACACACAGCCTCATTTGCATAAATTCTGCATGTGCTGATCCAGACTCCATCAGCAGGAATGCCTCATGGTGCAGTGTGAAAAGTGGCCAGCACGAGACCTTTTGAGACCAGGTCCAGCAGTGCCACCACAGGTACCCTGGAGGTCTGTGACTGCAGCATATCAAGTTGTCTCCTTCACCGCTGCCCTTGATACGGAATGAACCATCTGGGGCCAGCACGTTGGAAGGCACAAAGTACCCAAGTGATGCATTATTGTACTCACACATTGTTCTTATCACAGGAAGACATACTCCAGGAAGTCTTCACTGAGTGCTGGAGCCAGGTGTTGGAGAACTTAATCTGAATCATTTCTTATTATTTTCCTGCAACATTAGAGGTTTAATAATGTGGCCAAGAAGGGGGTCACGCTCTATTCTTGATAAAAGGAGAGAAGCAAAGGAAACTTCTATTAACCCAACCTTCAGAGCACAGCCATCACCTCTCCTGACATCTGCTCATGATACCTGCAGACTATCTCTGCCAACAGGATGCTTTGCCAACATGAAAGAATTAAGGTTTTTCTGAATTACAATGTGAATTACATTCCACAAAAGGGCTACTAATAAAATTATTTTCAGGTTTAACTTTTACCCCTTTACTCTTTCTCCGCCCATGTAGACCTGCTGAGAATCAGACAGGAGAATAAAAAGGGAGGCAAAGGGATGTGGGGGGAATTGAGAGAGGAAATATGGGAATGCCAAGCCAGTGCAATTGAGCAACAGCCCCTCACCCTGATGCCCGGTGAGGGGAGAGTTGGTGACTCTGTCCAGTTTTGAAATGTTGCCTTGTGTCTCCCTGGTATAGAAAGCAAATTCCAAATTTGCCTGGACCAGATTAGTGAGGAAAATTTAGGCAATAGGAAAAGAAGGAAACTTTAACATCACAATGCTTTTAAGACATACTAGGGGATTTTAACAGCATAATGATTTGAACTTTTTTGAAAGGTGTGAATCCCACTTCTAATTTTGACCCCTCACCCAATGGATGAGCTGTGTGCCCCCTGCCTCTTTAATAAGCTTGAAGGAAAGGAGATGACATCAGTAACATGCCTGAGAAGCTCTATTAGTCAGTGTCCTGGGATGGCACAGCAATTTGCATTTATTGTCTTAAATGGACAGGTACAAGGTTGGTTTTCAAATACACAACAGATGTATAAACTGTGAAACAACGTTTTGGAATTTTTAAAAGCAAAGGATACCTGTATAGACAATATGGAAAGTATCACATATATAAAGAATACCACTTTCATTATCTTGCCACTCAGAGATGTCCACAAGTTAAATCCTGGTTTATTTCCATCTAAATGGAATCAACTCTTGGTATCCACAGGATGGGTTCCCTGGTGATAGAAGTACCAAGGCCCAAATCCCTGACATAAAATCAAGTGGTATTAACATATGCGGGGCACACATCCTCATGTACACATTAAACCATCTCTAGGTCACTTCCAGTTCCTAACCTAACTCACATGCTATGTAAATAGTTGTTGTTTGGGCATCACTGTGAGGAGATAGAAGTCTCCATATGCTCAGAAAAGACACAGCTCTCTTTTTCACCTTTTTTTTTTTTTTTTGATGCATAGCAAGTTAATCTGAGGATGCAGGGGTAACACAGATTCCTAGACCCAACTGTACATAGTTCTTTAAAAAGTTCATGGAAGGCATATTACTTTTTCAAAAGCATACATGGGTTTCAAAGCTGCTTCACATCAAAATAAGTATCTTTTAATTCAATTCTCATGAATCTTTAAAGTCCCTTCATAATCATATGCTTCCTCAATTGCTCTCTGCTTTTATTTATTTAGTCACCCAAATCGATGTCTAAACTAAGGTACTAGGTTGGGGAAGGCAACATACAGGGAAGTTTTATGTAATTCAAGGTAATTCACTAGAGGCCACCTGGCCCACCTAGAGCAAAACTCCACTAAGATTGATTCTGTAGTCCTGGGAGTAGGCGGTGTAGGCCCAATGGACCAGGGTGCTGGCCGCTGGTCCTATGCCTCAGCCCATTGCTGCTAACTGCCGCGTTCTCTCTGTCCCACAGTGGTGGATCACTACACCAGTCAGATAGTCTTCAACGGGGTCCGGGTCATCGCCATCATCATCATCGGCCTGGGATTCCTCCTCCTGCTCCTGCCTGAAGAGTGGGATGTCTGGTTGATCAAGCTGCTCACTCGTCTCAAAGTGCGGAAGAAGGAGGAGACACCAGAGGGCGGGGCGGACTTGGGCTCAGGACCTCAGAACAGGAGCAGGAGAGCCCGCCCTTCCTTTGCCCGCTAACGCCTCTCCCTTAGGACTCTGGTGATGCCTCCTGGTCAGGACCGGGAGAACTATTTCCTGGTCAGAGGAAGCCCGCTGGGTAAGGTGTACATACTGTACAGTTTTGGTAATCTGCGGTAAGTTCTACGGTATTTATTGGCATGTCCAATTTGCTTGCACTTTTCCACATCAGACCTTTCACTTAAGGGTACCAACTTAACACAAGAGAGGGAGGAAGAACCTCGTTGTGCTTTTCAATGAATGTAAAGTAGGTTAAGATGAGCCTCGCAGGGATTGAGTGACAGATGTTCTTGATAAGCCAGGGTAAATGTTTTGAATCTTAACGACTAAAAAAAAAAATGACATTGTACACTGTGATTATTTTTCAGCTATGATAGGTCATATTTTGTTTTTTACCAGAGCTGTACTCTTAATTTTAAGGAATTTCAATGAACCAAAAGATAACTGTCAGTGATCTGAATGGATGGGGAATGGGTGGGGATGGGAGGATGGATGGGTGGGGATGGGTGGATGGATGGGTGGGGATGGGTGGATGGAATGGGAAAAGGTGAATCAGGAAAAAGCGATGGACATCAGACAGCATCGGAGGACAGGTCTGCAGCAGGTAGCAGGAAGGGAAACACAAGTTCAAGCCCCAACTGGCCTGTTCTCACATGTCTGCATAAGATCATGCAAGAGAAATTACAGTGCCTTCTACAGAATTTTCATCTTTACCTATGTGAAGCGAGGTGACATTATAAGTCACTGGTGCCATCTTCTAATTTAGATGTAGAAATCTTTGGAAACAAATGAAATTGTGTGTGTGTGTGTGTGTGTGTGTGTGTGTGTGTGTGTGTGTGTGTGTATAAAGTGACAACGCCGGGGAGCGATGCATACAGAATGTAATTGGCTGTATATGATTTGCCTCTAAGGTAGACTGTGCAAGAGAGGAGTTGCTGGTTGCTTTTCTTTCACAACTAAGACTGAAAAAAAAATTATTTCATGAATCTGTATACCTTTTTATGAACCTTTTAAGGCTGTTTACCTACTCAATTTAGGTCTACCAGAAAATTCTATCTGTGATAGATCTGCAAAGAGGGACAGGGGGTAGAGTTTACTATTTTTGAAGTTTACATTGTTACATATGAAATGGAGATCTTATTTTGAAATGTTGTCATAACCCAATGGTGCATTCTGTAACCATGGAGTCTTTTGTTTCCTGGGGGTAGGGCATTCACGACCTGAAATTTTTAGCAAATTGTTATTCTCAGTTTCCATTACTTGTTTGGCCAGATTAATAAAACATTTGAAAAGAACTGTGGAGCACAGTCTGGTGGCCAGGTAGTCATTTCCCCACTACAGTCCTGCCACAGCCTTCTTGTTCTTCCCAGCCATGTACGTGAAGCACCTTAAAGGCAGGTAAGCCTGCGCTGCCCCCTCATGGAGAGCAAACCATCTCCTGAGGGAGTGAAGGATTAAGTGAAACGCACAATGTCCCGCCAGGCCCCTGCCCTGCCTTCCTCTCCTTTTCCTTTCCTGATGAATTCATTATCTCAGCTAATACTGGCTGCTCAGAGCTGCCCCAAAGCCACAGTCCCTGTCCCTCAATCCAGCTGGCCTTCTAGCTCAGCTTCCACTCCTGCCTGTCTGCCCACGTGGACCATCCTAACCTGATCCAGGTTCTTTGGAGAGTTTGATATATCTGCTTCATGAGATGGATCACATGGAGCCCCTGCTCCAGACAGCTGCAGCCACAGCTATGACATCCAGTGTGTCTGGCTCGGGAGCCCCCAGAGCTGTTTCCTAGGACATGGTGTGAGCACGGAGGAAACAAGGGTTTCTGTAGCACGTCTCAGCCCATCACCCACACTGAGTGTAGCAGCCTGCTGACTACAGATCACGTACTCCAAGCACCGCTTGCTTCAGCGGCTCTAAACCCAGAGAACTAGGTGTCCATTGTGGAGAGCTCTGCTACTCAGTGAGTCTGGATACATGCTGGAGCAGCAGGATCCTGCACCAGTCACCTCCAAATCCCTTCAGTCACACAAGGAAGCCAAACCAGTATCTCCTTTGCAAGCCAAAACATTCAAAGTTGCAAATCTCTACAGGAGAAATGTAGGTTATCTCCCAAAGGGCATCAAATACTATAAATACAGGCCAGTGCTGTGCTATAGCATGTTAAGCCACTGCCTTCAGTGTTAGCATCCCATAGGGATGCTGATTTGAACCCCAACTGCTCCACTTCCCATCTGGCTCCCTGCTATTGTGCCTGAAAGGGCAACAGAAGATGGCCCAAGTCCTTGGGACCCTACAATCACATGGGAGACCTGAATGGAGTTCCTGGCTTCTGGCTTCAGCCTGCCCCAACCCTAGGCATTGTAGCCATTTAGGGAGTGACTTAGTGGATGGAAGATAATTCTCTATCTGCTTCCCTCCCTCCTTTACTCTCTGCAACTCAGCCTTTCAAATAAATAAAATAATTTAAAAAAATCATAAAGACCCAAAGAACTGAAACTTGAACAGATATTTATATACATTATTCACCTTAATATTATTCACAACAGGCAGAAGATGGGAGCAACCCCAGTGTATAATGACAGATAGATGGGAAAACAAAATGTGGCCCTTATGTATAATGAAATACAATTCTGCTATTAAAAAAAGGCGGGGAAGGGGTAGATCCTGGGGCCAGCACAATGGCTCAACTGGTTAATTCTCTACCTCCAAGTACAGCACCCTATATGGGTACTAGTTCATGGCCTGGCTGCTCTACTTCCTATCCAGCTCCCTGTTTGTGGCCTGGGAAAACAGTGGAGGATGGCCCAAAGCCTTGGGACCCTGCACCCATGTGGGAGACCCGGAAGAAGCTTCTGACTCTGGCTCCTGGCTCTGGACTGGTTTGGCTCTGTCCATTGCAGCCATTTGGGGAGCGAACCAATGGATGGAAGATTTTTCTCTCTATTTCTTCTTCTCTCTGTAAATCTGCATCTCCAATAAAAATAAAAATATTTTTAAAGGAAAGATTATGACACATTACAGCATGGTTGAACCTGAGTACATTATGCTGAATGAAGTTCAGCCAGACACAAAAGGACATCTAATATATGACTGTATCTATATAAGATTCCTGAAGTAGTCAATTTTATGGCAAAATAGAGTAGAATGGTGAGTGCCAAGGGCTGAGGAGGGGGGGAATAGAGAGGTGGTCTTTGATGGGTACAGAATTTCAGCTTGGGAAAATGGGAAAGTTCTATAAATGAATGATACCAAGTTGGAAGTATTTAATACCTAATACTCCATGCTTAAACATGGCTAAAATGGTAAATTTTATGTTATTAAATGCCTCGAGGAAAGCTAAACCTTCAGAATAGGTCCCAGATGGCAAGCAAAGTGAGGTGAGAATTCTGAAGGAGTCTAGCAGCCATGTGCTCACTACAATTTACCCACACTCCTGGAAAAAAAATTGCTCTGTGACACTTGCCTGAGCATATTCCTGTTTCAAACACCGAGACAGTCTCCAAAAAGTGCCATTTTGCCAGCCAGGCCTGGCCAATGGGCTGCAGCGTATGGCCAACCAGTCAAAAGGAACAACTCACAATACCTCACTTGAAGAAGCTAATTAGAACTGAACAAGCTTGAGTCCTTCATTTGTATGCACAGATTCCCAGGGGAACCTGGGCTTAGAACACGGTTAGTTCCAATCCTTGTTCCTGCCAAGGGTATCTTGCTCTGCACATGCTGGATCTGCCACATCTAGATGGCTTGTCCCTGAAAAGAAAGCTAAACAACCAATATTTATTTCCATTGATATAATATACATTTTATCACAATAAAAAGACTATGAAGGGCATGTAATATGAAATTAAAATGTTAAAATTCTATCAGGATATTGTTTTAAAAAATAACTGAGTTGAAATGCAGGTAGATTGATAGATTTCTTTCTGGAAAGAATACATATTCACACATACGTGCACAAACACATACTCTGAGTACAGCAAACCTAGGTGTACAGTAAACCTTTCTAGTTTATTGGAACCCACTAGGCCAGCTTTGGGAACACAGTCTCCCTTTGTCTTGGGCATTGTCTGTTCCTGAAAGCCTCTGAGTAGCAACTGAAGAGTTTTTTCTTAGGTTCCTTTAAGGCATAAAAGGCAAAGCCAAGACAGAAGGTACAAACAGGAGACCCAAGCTGCTAGTGCTGCTGGAGGCAACAAAAATATTCCCAGCAGTCTCTGTTCTCTTCCTTCCTTTCAGAATGTGGCTTTTGGGGATCAAACATTAAGTGAATCATCGGGCCCTTGACCATACCACATCAGAGTATTGCTAAGAAGCTATCATGCAAACCCTGAATTCCATGCAAGGGTTTTCAAGGATATATATAGTCAGAACAAGTGTGTGGTACACAGTTCCTGTGTCCCAGTGCTGTCAACACTCCCAATTCCATCTTCTTGCTGAAATGCCTCCTGGAAGGCAGCAGGTGATGCTTCCAAATGGTTGAGCTCCCACCACTTACGTGGGAGACCCAGATTGAGGTCCCAGCTCTCAGCTTGAGCATGGCCCAGGTTCAGATGTTGTGGGTAGTTTGGGAAGTGAACAAGTAGATGTAAGATTCTCATTTCTCTCTCCTTCTCTTTCAAATAATTTTTTTAAAGTTAAAAAGGGCAAAACAACACATGTGTTTCCAATCCAGCCAAGGTTGCATAATATGAAATTCAAGGTCTTCAATGTTGAAACCAGAGCTATGAAACTGTGTCATAAAAGGAAATTAAAAGAAAAAACAAATGATTTATTCTATAATTTCAATGTGGTGATTGTATAGTTCTGTAAATATGCTAAAACTTAATGAACTGTACACTTTAAGTGGGTGAACTGTATGACATTGAACTATATCTCCGTAAAGCAGTTAATAAATAAGTGCTCCACACAATAGTTGAAAATCCCTTGACCAAAATCTCCCAAGCCAGGAGTCCTGTGTGTTGGGTTACTTGCTGGGTTTGATTGACCAAACTCTGACCCCTGTTTAAAACCTCTCCTGTTGGTATTACACAGGGTGAAAGAGTCTCCATGTGGAACTCTTCCCTGACCCCACCATGCTGTACAGGTGCAGGAGGTGTGAACTGAACTTGGCTTTGCAGATGTCCAAACCCAGAGGATAAGCCCAGAAAAGTATAGCTGTCCAGCCACTTACTGAGTTCCCTGCCATGGTAGCTCTTGCCGCCTGTCACCATGGAGGTCAATGGTTCCTGCTCTTTCCCAAACAGATCCTTTGGACTCAGAGTCCCAAAG